CCCCCCTCCCTCTTCCTCGCTGCTCCCTCCCCCACCTCGCCTCCAAAAACCGCAATAAAGAGGCATTGGCCCGGCATCGGCATGGCCATGGGCCGTGGTGCTGCCGTGCCTTTGGGCCGGGCAGCGCGGCGACAGCGCGGCGGCGGGCAGCGTCCTGCCCGGCCCGGCCCCGGACTGTTCGCAAACACAGACTGCACCGCTCGGCTGCAGCAGCTGCAGCGCGGCCACGGCCGCCGCCCTCACCACGCCCGTGCTGTTCACGCGCGTTCGTGGGAGGAGAACCGCGGTCTTGGCGCAGCCCGGCCCCAGGCCAGGACCGCGGCAGGGGCCCGTCCCGCGTCCCGTTTCGCTTGGAGCCGAGGCCGGAGCTTCTCCTCGGCCCGGAACCCGGAGCAGCCCTCCCGCGCGAGGCCGGGTCGAGCCGGCCGGGGCCTCTCTCCTGAACATCGCCCGCGCCCAGCATCAGCAGCGAGCGTCGTTTGTACATTTTACGACAGGAGCCTCACTCACATCCTCGCCTCGTACACGGTTGTCAGCGCGTCTCGAGAAAAATAAAACGTGTCCGTGCTGGGGTACGGTGGCGGGCAGGGGATAGGGATCATCACAGGCAGTCACTATTCTCCACCAAAATAAAAGCTCACTTCCTTAATCCAGACGCAGCTTTGCGTGCCTCTGTTATGGGTATTCAGCTGGCAGGAAACCGAAACCTAGAGACGTAAAAACACCGAGCCCGCACCATCTGTCGCCTTCTGAAAGCTGGCGGTTCAATGATGACGTCAATTATGAGGTCAACCAATGAGTGCGCAAAAAGCTATACGCGACCATACGTATACCCGTATACAGGTGGCGTTATTTTACTGTATAGTCTTCCGTTTTCAGGGTCCCAGGCCCCTTTACTTACTCCTAATCCAACTAGCAGTGTAATGTAATGCCCCGAGTGCGCTATGCCTGTAACTAGTTCAAGACGTTAGCAAGGAAGAAATGTAATCTAAATCTGAGAGTGAGACACACGGCCGCGACATTATTCCAAGTGGAGTGTGGAGTGGTGCAGGCTGTGGGGCAGACCTCCATCCCACCGCGTCCCGCCCCGCGCCGCGCCGCGCCCCGCCCCGCTACCAGGTGCTACGCGGCGCCACGCCGTGATACACTTGTTGGGAGAGAGGAGGGTCGTTGACCTCCTGACTGGAGCGCGGCGTGGCGCGGCGCGGTGTGGCGCGGCCGGCGGGAGCCGCCGAGGCGGGGGCCTCGCGGGAGGAGAACAGGAACAGCTGAGCGTACGGGGGCCGGGACGGAACGGCCAGAGCACGCGCCGGACGTGCTCCGTGAGCCCGAGCACGTCGCGGGCTGGAGCACGTCGTACCTGCGTGAGCGCGAGTGAGCTGCTCGCGGGTGGTCCGCGGGTAGAAGACGAACCGAGTGAAATCCTTCACACACACCCTGCAGCTTGCACCTTGTTCGGATGAGTAGCGGGTGGCGTCGAGTCACACAAAACAAGTATGCGTTGGGTTTTCTGCAAGAAGTTGAAAAAAAACGTTGCAATGCGGCTCCGTGAACGGACCAAAAAAAAAAAAAAAAAAAG